AAATACCAATGTAATTGTGTTACGTAATTACAAAATGGAAAATTCGTCAATATGTCCAAAGTTTACAAGTTAGTCTCGTCTCTCCGTAGTGGAGGTGTTCCGAGAGTTGTACAGTAGGACTGTAATACATACCTATGTAAAACAGTCACAGACTAAATAAATTTTCGTGTTCTATACATAAAGCCTCACATACCAGTGGGCACCCACGGTCTATCGGTATCAACTGATATGGGGGTCCCTATGTTTATCGTAGACGGTATACATAAACCAAGGGGTAGTTTTCGGTCCTGTAAACTGACCTAGAAAGAGAAAGTATAGCGTCGATCTAATCATGTACATTAAATGCCACAGTCAGAACAATGGATTGGAGTCATCTAAGATTTTGCATAATTGTGTAGGTAATATGACATTTCGCGTTGTGTTGTTGATACCAGTATTCTGATTAGTCTTCGTAAGAATATCATGTCAATGGAAAAAATAGACTCTATCTATTATTCTCGGTCCATAATCTCGACTTCATTACCGCTACCTGCGTTGTAAGTGTGAATCCTGGCAATTTTAGTGAGATCCCCCCGCTACACTACAATCGTGTAGTGTCACCTTTCGTAAGTAACATTACTGACAGAGGTGGCCTTTTGTTGATTAGTCGGACACCGCCGGGTCTGACTATACATGGCTACACTCCCTACGGTCAAAACAGTCAGGGTCAAAATCCTGACTTTTAGGCAGTGATGTTACTACTTAGTTAGAACGCTCCTTGACCCCTGCCTTTGACCTCTGTAGCTTACCTCTTAAATAACGAACGACGCCGTTCGGTCAAGACACTCTGGATACGTCACTGTTTCATACACACACAAACAACGGACGTAAACATTCTACTTCACATACTCAGTCAGTCCTCAAACGTACACAGAGCCCGCTTCCGGACACTCTCCGTCTCCCAAACAACCTCCTGTCTCGGCTCAGACTCGTGACCAGTTGTGACGGTTCAAAACGCACACGTGTGACTGTGTGTGTGTTGTTGTGTGTGTGTAGTGTGTGTGTGTGTGTGTCAACATTTCAGTGACGTGATGTATAAAATAGTTCATGACATATTTCACCTGGAATACGATATAACGCTTTTTGTAATATAACGATCCGTCCCTAGTGGTATGTAAACAGTTCTTTTGTTCACCGGGTTTTACCATAGTTATCTGTGCATACGCCCGGTCGCTAAAAATATATCAGGTTTACGATCACCTCGTGCGGAGTGCCATGACGCCTGGCGTAATTTCGAAATCGTCGTGAGAGTGCGGATTGCTTCCTCAGTGAAGATCGGTCCAAAATCTCCAAATGAACATTTACATTAGTCAATGACCTTATGACGGTGTTAATATACGAGACTTCATAAGTCTAATGAAAAATCTATGAAAACCTTATGAAGAAAAAAGGTATTGTCTACCCATACAAAACCACTTGTCCCCTCTGGTGAATAAAATGCAAATTACCCGAATATTCTGAGTTTTGTGTTGTTAAACCACAGTAAGACTGTTCGAGGAGATAAGACTGGTGTATTTTTTTGTATTGACGTAAGAAACATGACAGAATTTTGGAAAGGAACCTTATACAATACTTAACATTCCTACAGGGACCCCAAGAAACTTTCCGCGGGTAGTTAAAATCTTACTTACAATTAGTAATAATAAGCTTTGCTCCACATTATTGAAATTTTGAAAAAGGTCGGAACGGGGTACCGTAAGTTCGTCGTCCGTCCCGGAAGTGAAATACCAAACAGGGCAATACCTTTACATAGAAAGCTGTTATTTAATTTACGATGTATTGCAATAGAAACTTAAATAGATTGTAGAGCCAAAGTTNATAGCTCTTACGTTGTTATTGATTGTGTACGAGTTCATGTGTTTGAGCATGCGCAGTCTGTCCTGAAGTTGTGGAGAGAGTAAAACGTAATAAACGGAGGCGCTCCTCCGTTTATTACGTTTTACTCTCTCCACAACTTCAGGACAGACTGCGCATGCTCAAACACATGAACTCGTACACAATCAATAACAACGTAAGAGCTATACAAATGAAAGAAAATACAAAAATTAGCTCTCACAGATAAAACGAGAGAGAGAGAGAGACTGACTTCACTGCTAATTACGTGGTCCAACAAGCACACGCACGCACGCACGCACGCACGCACGCACGCACGCACGCACACAGGCCCTTTCTCATTTCATCAAATCCCACTCCT